CACAGGCACCTACACCACAGCTTAACAGCTGAAAACTAATTCATCTCGTTAAATTCTGGTTGAGATTAATTAATGTTTTTCTTTTTTTGCTTACAGATAATTCTTTAGTTGGGGCATTCATTTGGATGAATTAAAATGTGCAGTGTAGTTCAAGAAAAGGAATTTGACAGTTACTCTTTGATCCCCGTGGCATGAACAGGTCTATTAGCCTAATACCTGACAATGGCCACAAAGGGTGTGAGCAGTACTAGGCCTGCAGAGTATCACTATCCTTCTGTCTGCACCACTGGTCCCTGCCAAGTTAGTGTTCTTGAACAAGTTGAGCCTAGAGACATTCCTCTTTAACTTAAGGCATCTTTAAACCTTTTGATACCTGCTGCTGCTACCTTTCACATAGGTAATGCAGTGAGGTGTTGTGTGATCTGAAGCCCCTGGAGTCAGGTAAGATGAGCTCAGATTTGTTCACTGATGAAGCTTGCTTGTCCAAAGAGTCACACAGCCGAGAAGAGAGAGGCCCATATAATTCTTCAATAAACGTGGAAGTGTTAATGAGGAAGCTGCTAGGATTTCTGAATGAAAAGTGGCCCACACAATGCTTCAGGCATTCTTCTTGGGATGTAATATATACAGAATTGCTGTGTTTTGTCTTACCATGTTCTTCTTGAGCTCAGATGTACCTGGTGTTCTTCCTAAATAACCACAGATTCACTGTAAATCCTGTTCTGTCCCATTACATTGTCAGGTTATTTGTCATGAAATAACATTAACATGCACTCTCTCACATTAATATTCTGCCTTAAAAGCGTTGAATAGAGTAAACTATTACACACTGATCAAAAACAGGACAGATGTATGGCAATAAATGCCCCCAAAAAGGGCATCTATGGGGTGAGTGTATTGTTCTATGATATAAGTTCAAGGAGAGGTCAGAAAGTGATGGCTCACAGCACTGCAGATATATTGCATCTGCTGTAGCTCTTACAGACCTCCAAAACACTTACGTCTGTGCTGGCCAGTGCCTCTGCACCATCCATGTATTTCCTATTAAGTTGTACGTCTGATTTAGAGCAAATAAATAAGTACACTCAATAAGTGCACTAATGCTTAGGTGTTGGAGTCCTCATAAATCATGGTAATTACTTTGTGTATCCTTTGCCAGTAAAAAAAAAAAAAAAAAAAACCTGAAACATTAACTTAAATTGGTCTTAAACAGTTAAAAAAAAAAAAAAAAAAGAATTTACACTGAACAGAGAGTTGAGGATTTCTATTAGCGCACGTTGATAATAACGTTTTCTTACTTATAACCTTTTAGCTTCATTTGTGACTCTCAAAATTGACCTGATGTTTCATATTTATTTATTTTAAAATGTGTCTTGGTGTCTCTGCAGGTTGCAAGATCAAAGCCCTGCGGGCCAAGACCAACACCTACATAAAAACCCCCGTCAGAGGAGAGGAGCCAGTGTTCTTAATCACTGGCCGGAAGGAGGATGTCGCACTGGCCCGCCGTGAAATCATTTCTGCTGCAGAGCACTTCTCCATGCTCCGGGCATCCCGCAACAAACTGGGAGTGTCCTTTAGCGGCTCCCCGCCCACACCTTTGCCGGGTCAGACCACCATCCAGGTCAGAGTGCCATACCGCGTCGTGGGGCTGGTAGTGGGGCCTAAAGGTTCCACCATCAAACGCATCCAGCAGCAAACCTGCACTTACATCGTCACTCCCAGTCGAGATCGTGACCCTGTCTTTGAAATCACGGGGTCACCGAGCAATGCTGAGCGCGCTCGCGAGGAGATTGAAGCACACATCGCCTTCCGAACAGGAGGCCTGCATGACCACAATAATGAGAATGACTGTCTGGGGCCCAATGGTGGAAGCAGCCCAGCGGGCAGCAGCGGTGGTTTGGAGAGCCGGCTACAGCAGGTGTGGGGGCTGCAGGGGGGCCAGCGCAAGCCACTCACCAGCAGCTACCGCCAGAACTTCTCAGATGCCATGGTTGGAGGGGGAGGGGGAGGCGAGGGAGGGGGAATTTACAACAAGGGCAACTTCTCCAGCTCTGGAGAGAAGCCTTGCTCTTATTTTGGATCAGAGGGAACCCAGAGTTGGGGTGACCCTGATTACCCCAAACAGGTGGCCTTCTACGCCCAGCAGCGTTCCAAGAGCTTTGGAGGCCTCCCACTCCCCCTGACCAGACTCTCCCCGGGCTTACCCGAGCCCTGCGGAGGTGGAAGCACCAACAACTCTTCAGTCACCAGCATTGTGCCCGTAGCTGGCTCACCTCATGCCCAGGCCCGCCGCGCCCACAGTGAGCCCACCTCAGCCGGCGAGGGTTTCCCAGGCCGTCTGCCAGTGCCGGACTCGCCACCGGCCACTGTGCGGGATTGCATGACCTGCTTTGAGAGCAAAGTGACGGCTGCCTTGGTGCCCTGTGGCCATAACCTCTTCTGCATGGAGTGTGCCATCCGTATCTGTGAGCTCAACCACCCAGAGTGCCCAGTGTGCCACACCCAGGTCACACAGGCCATCCGAATATTCTCTTAAGGAACCACATCAGTTTTTATCATTAGTTTTGTCAGTGTTTGTTCAATAATTATTTACTGTTATTATGATTATTATTATTATAATACACTTTTGTTTTTCAGAAAATTAAAAAATCAAACAATCAAGCAGATATTTTAGAAGGCACTGCTTGCTTTACTAAAAAGTATAAGAAATATTTTTAAGTTTTTCTTTTATATATATATGCATATATATTTTATAAAAGTTTTGTTTATAAGAAAAGTATAGAATCTTGCATTTTCAGTTTTTTGACTGCTGCTGTTTTTCATTCATGAATCACAGTATAGGCAGAGGTAGACAGTAATGTGAACATTTTATTATTCAGATTTTTATTTTACCATGAAGTGGGTTTATACTGAAGGATAAAGATGATTGTTGAGGTACCCAGTCTGCACCTGACTGACCTAGAAGGTCACTGTTGTTATTGGAAGGAAAAAATAGATTTTTCATTGCACCTTACAATCATCTTGGTCTAAAATAGATTGTCAATCACACCCTGAAATTTCAGGAGCTGATATGAAGTTGAATTCAGCCTTTTCAGTTTTACTGTGACTATGGTTTCATATGATTGGTCCAAAATAGATATTAATATTAGCAAAGTCAAAATGTGAATAGATTGATTCTGGTCAAAGCCTTGTAATCTTTACGAGGAAACAAAAACAGCCCCTTTATTTAATTCTTATATCAAAGTCTTATAAACCAGACTAATGCTAAAAAAGGATAGGACATTGCGTCATTTATTTATAGCAACTGGTTAAATTCTATGGGTATCATTAATCACAGAGATAGACTAAAGTTGTATAAAGTACGAGTAAAATTTTTCTTCGAGTAGCCGTTGGTCACACTTTGGTCACTGCAGTTTGTTGAAAAGATTCAGTAATGCTTGCTCCTCGTGGCACTTGAAAAGCATGTGGTTCCTTGGTTGGCTTAAAGCAGTGATTTAATTTGTGAGGCAGAAAGCCTTGGATTGCATCCAGTTGGCTAGTTCTCGGTATCTGTCTCCCCGATGGACTTGTTTCAAAGCCACCTTAACCGCGCTTTATTGTTTTGTGTGGTCATTTGGCCACAGTCGCTGAACAACGTAGGACAAAGCAAGAGCTCCAGTCAACAAGCATTTCTGAGGTGTACACTGTAAATAAGGAGGAGAGTTAGCATGTGGGCAGAAGCAAAACTGCAAAATGTTTCAGCAGCAGACTGAGATTAAAATATTTGACACTGTAAAATACAGAGTCCCAAATCAGTAATCCTTATTCCAAGCCTCTACTTCTACCAGCATTATGTGTGAGCTCTGAGGGGTCTGCTGTCTCCCCTGTAATTAGCAAAGCTGTACAGGAGCAGGTGTTTCATGGTGCACTGTTGCTGTGACCCCAAGTTGGAGGTCTTGCCGAGCTGCGTTTCTTCCTCTCTTTTCTTTGGGAGTGGTTTTTATGTCTCTCCCTGCCTACAGTTCGATCATTTGCTCTCCAAGGCCTCTCTGAGGGGGCGCATTGTCTGGGCCCAGTAGCGGCGTGGGCTGCAGAGTGCTCGGACACGCCTGGGTCTGCTCATTGATAATTAGGCAAATGGGCCGGTCCAGGTGCGGACCGCGTGGGGACTCTGGAGCTGTATAAGTGGTAAGACAGGACCCTGCAGTGAGCCCCTTGGTGCCCCACCCCACTGTTACAGCACAGAAGGGCTGGATGGTCTGGATGCAGCTGGGCAAATAGGACCCCTCCTTCCACTCCCTCTTGCCCCTTGGCTCCCCCTTCTTCCTCTCCTTTTCTGCTGCTCTGAGCTACTGAGTAGAGGGGGCCTCTTTTGTCCCAAAACACACACACACCAAATTTGAAAGGCACTAGCTGAATTTGGCAGTGTCTGTGAAATAAGGAGAGCTGTAGGAACAAAATAAACTATCTGGTTATCAGGACATAATGCCAGTTACCTCTTTTCAGTGTTAATGTCTCTCAATTTGCCATAAACCATTTCCAAATGATGAAAATTTCACCTACAAAAGAAAGACTGTGTGATCTTATCACATGGGGTCCAGAATTAACACCCCCTTTCACCCCAGAACTACACCGCCCTGAAATTTGAATGGGGCCCTGTTTGTGTGATGGCGCCAGCGCAGATCGAAGTTTCCACAAAGCCACCTGCCCCTGTTCACCTCCAGACCCCACCTCCTGTGTCAGCTCACTACTGTATGAGACATCCTGCAGCTGCCCCTTCACTATGGACACTCGGGCTTCAGCCAATGGCAGCACCCATTGCTTTGAGCTTCCAGAATGAAATCAGACAATTGTAATTGACAGGAAGGCAGAGGAAACGCCCCATTTAACCAGCACTCATGCTGAATCAAATTACACACCCTGTGCGTCTGCTTTAGCCCCAGCCTGGGGATTTCAGAGGACTAGAGAAGAGTGGATGGGGGTAGGGATTAAAGCTGTTGAATAATGGGGGTGGGGAGGGGGGGTTCATTTTAGCTACAGACAGAGAAGTATATGCTTCAAAAAAAAAGACCCTGCCGATTTAGAACATTGATTGATCATTCAAGTGTTGCAGTGAGTGTTGACTTGTCACATGTGGGCCAGTAGTGATGACGAGGAACACAGTATATGTTTCTTGTGTTGTACTGAAAAGCAATTCAAACCGATTCTGTCCCAAAAAAAAAAAAAAAAAAGAACAAAAAAATTAACAATTACAAATTGTGTCTGCTGGGACACAAAGGCCCCTCCAGTTTTTTTTTAAATTTTTATTTTTTTTTTACATACAGTATAACGCAGACCACTCACATTACGTGTGGACTGCAGGGAAAGCACTGTACTTGCAGAAAGTACCCTGAACTCTGTCAGATTTCAGTAGAAATAAAGAATAGTTCTGATTTTATGGATGAAGAAATTGCACAGTGGTTTGGCCTAAGCTTTCAACATCAGATTCAAAGCAGCATAACACAGTTCTTTGAACTTAGCATTTCTCTTATTTTGTTTTCTGCCTTAACATTTTTTATTAAAATACTGCCATCACTTTTGGCATACAAGGTAGCAACTTTGGCCTTTGATAGTACCGTCCCATAAAACAACTTTTAAAGTATTTATTTTTGGTGCAAAGAATGTGAATCAAACTGCTTGGGTGGGGATTAAAGGGATTCAGGAAATTAGGCTCTGAAAACACTTTTCTTCACACATAGTAAAGCACCTTATTACAAAACACACATTTCATAAGTACCAAACCGACCACTGATGGTGAAATATATTTCATAGAATCTGAAAGACATGCACATAAGGATTCCCTATCATTTATTTGTATTATGATGGTTCTTGTTAATCTTAATAGTTCAGTCGTGGTAGTGGTAATTTGGGAGACCTCTCATCCATTTGTCAATGTGCCTGACTTGGTTGGGTTTTGCACTTGTATAATGAAGAGAAAGCTTATTAGAGTTTCTCCCAGTTTAGACGCTGTAAGTTGAGGAGCATCGTGCTTAATGGGAAAGCGCTCTGAGCATCTATGTAAATACAGTATGTGTATCACTTATGAGCATCCAAACAAAGGCCCGCTTGAAGTGAGGTTTTGATTATTTTTACTAACCGAAAGTGTCATTGTCAATGTTTTAGCATATGGAATTGAAAATGTTTGCGTTTTAGGGAAAGTAAATCTTTTATACAGCATCCCATCGTCCTTTTTACAATAGTAGTATATTAGAGCCATACATTTAAGAAATATTATTTAAGTGGATTAACTTAGTATTTCATCCAAATATATAGATAAGAAATTAATCAGACACTACTATAAACTGTAATAATGAATATCCTTTATGAAGCCGCTGATGTATAATCCAATCTCAATAAAAACTCAAATGAATAGTACTGTATGTGTAGTAACATAACCCCGAATGAATAACTATGTATATTAGGATGAAAAGCAATAATAGGACTATACTGGGACAACAAACAGAAGAGTCTGCTCCGTCAGTTCTTTAAAAAAATATTCTATTCAGAAATTGACCTTGATTATTAGGATAATATCGCTGCAATTGTCTCATATCTGCTTAAAAGTCATTATGTATTCATGCCAGTGTAGTAAAAGAGATAATTAATTTGTAACAGTTTCAGGATAAGTGATTGTTCTTGTTATGTTCATCAGGGTCTTAGTCATTTGATTGTGTAATTTTTATGTTGAATATCAATCAGATCACAGGGTGGGTCACAGCAAAGTTAAGGATTCCTTCTCCTACCACTGAAATGATGAAACTGCAATCTCTGTGACTTCGAGGAAATCTCATTGGGCTGTAGAAGTGATCGCTCAAGTGTAAACAATCAAGCACAGAGCATGAGCACCAAGGCCTGTCCTGTTTGTTAAAGAGCAGGAGCTGGCGACTTTACTTAGTGTCTGACAGACTGATGTCTTGGAGGCTTTGGGCAAAAAAAAAAAAAACCATGCAGACAGCAGTGAGAAGCATGCAGTGCACCAGTCACTCTTACTGAAGTCATGTTGAAGAGCTTTGATTCTTTACACTCAGGCAGGGGCAGATGTGTTACTTCCAGCATATCTCGAGATGCGTTCTGTTTACATAGTGATAGGTTTCTGATTTCATGGCTCCATTTGATACTTGTGTTACCCCTGCTTTCTATCTGTATTGTTTTTGAAAGAAAAAGGTCAGACATAGCCAAAGAACAACTTACAAGGAGAGGACATGAGCTACACTATCACTTGAGTTAACTTATTTTAGCATCAAAATCAGCTTGGTTTAGAGTTTTTATTAAATAAGAGCTAATCTCATACCAAGAATTACTCTGTTTACCCAAATGTCTTTACATCCACTCAATCAATAGCTGTGAAATGAAGACATATCATGTTTCAGTGTTGTAAGATTACTTTAATACTACAGAGGTGCTGGTAACAGACTTAATTCTCCCCAAAGAGACCAGCTTAAAGCACATCCTGGCACTTGCAGTCCTTTGAGTAGTTTTCTGTTGTCCTGGTTAGATTGTTGAAGAAGAAGAAGAAAAAAAGTCAAGGAAATTTCTTAATCTTTCTAAAAAACCGGACTAATCTTGAGAAGTTGAGATGCAATGGAGCTGTCCAAGTAATAAATAAAAAAAAAACTGAGAAGGAATCATATTGACAGTGACAAGCGGGTGAAAATTAAGGCTGAATTCTTCATTTTTAAGAACTGGAAAGTAAAACATAAGTGCTTACCCTCAGAGGTAAACAAGTGACAGCGTAATAACGAACAAAACAGCACTGTGGTTTTAGTTAATATAATTTAGAGAGCCATTAACTGTATTCTTATGTTTAAGTGCATGTTAGGAAAATATAGTAGAGTAGGTAAGAGTTACAGTAGGTAGGAGCGCGTAATAAATTCATCAGCCTTTAACCTGAAGTGTATAAAAAGCTTTAAGACCATAAACATTGGGTTAAAATCCTATAATTACCTTGTAGTTTAACTAATTGATACATAAAGTTTAATTATGATTCTTAAGAATATGCTAAAGTGTAAGTTTCATTTGTCCATCTCACCCAGTGTGAAATACTTTTTAATTCAGGGGAGCAACAAAGGGGTGGGGGTGACGCACGGTGACATTTTGCTTCATTAAGTTCTTTGTTAGTATTATTTACAATATTGTATTGAGCTTACTATTATAGCAATGGTAGAAAATGTTGATGTTTTTCTTCTCTTGATATGAAAAGGTCTTTATGCATTTTCGTAGAATCCCTTTCAACCAGTGATAGGAAATCCTTATTTTCAGTGGATGCACTTAAGCAATTGTACCAACCTGTCAAAATCACACATTGAGCAAGTAATGCATTTGAATGTAAAAAAAAAACAAAAAAAAAAAACTTAATGCACTCCGTATGCTTATTGTTTTGTCTATTTACAAGTGAGCTTTAAGTTTTTGTTTGTCTTTTGGAAAGAATTTGCAACAGGTTTTCAACGTAGACTATATTTGAGTTCTTCCACATACATTTATAGAAAGTAACTTAAAACGAATAAAAAAACATATTACAGGTTCTCAAATCTATTTTGCTAACATGGGTTATTATTTCATAGAAAGCAGAGGAAAAAAGTCAGTATCTGGATGTTATTTATGAAAAGTAAAAAAAAAATGAAGCAACATATTTATGAGTAACCTTGACATTTTGTTTTTTAATTAAAATGACAAGAAGTTAATATATTTCTAAACACAGGGAAGTCAGTTTCTACTAATAAGTAAAATGAGAAGTTTAGAAGTTTTATTTATAAAAGTTATGGATGCTTGTCTTTTCCATGTAGTTCATAGTAAATGACATAAATGGAAAGAGTTCATAGCTTAAATTTTAACTTCAGGCGTGCACTACTTAAACATCTGTGCATTCACAATGGAATAATAACAGAAAGTAATATAATATTTTTTAGAATTTGGAGATATTTTAGTCACAGAGCATCGATTTTGTGCCTCAATTATATATTTTTCCTGCATCAGCATTCTTTGTGCAGTGCTGCTTGCTGTAACCCCTTTCCCCCTTCAACTAACCCCATGTTACTGACTGAAACACATTACTCATTTCCTCTGTAATCTAAACTCGCTTTTACTTATCAAACATATAAAACATGTTATGACTGCAACGCTTGGAATGAATGAGGCAGCTGTGGCCCCGCTGCCAACAGGGCCACACATAACTTGTACACACTTTCATTCATACATTTTCTACGTCTACTACTCGGTTTGTGATCCATAGCGATGAGCATAATCAGCTTAAAGAAAGCCTTTGAGAGACTTTCCCTAATGTGTTAATTAGGTGTGTGCAAATGGAGCGGCAGCGCACTGTGTAGTAGATCTATGTAACTAGATGCACACATATACACACACAGCAGATTCATTACCGTACTAGTTTGCATGTATGTTGTATGGTCACTTAGACAGGAGAAATGGTGCAGGTCCTGTGTTATCCTTTAACTCCAGTGCACTTGGGCTGTTTCTCCTCTGTAGATTTTCATAGTTGGAGTCACTTTGGAAACTGGAAGTGTGACGCGAGTGTGGAACCAGGCAGAGAGACCATTTCAGTCCCAATACCAGAGTTGGATTTTGTATTTTCAGTTACCTGCTGGTGATGAAAGACTGTTTGCACCTCATGAATTAACCTGAAGTTCTTAGCTTATGTAAGACTTGATACAGACAAAAAAAACTTCACAAAAACACTACAATGGCACATTTTTTGCTGCATTTAAAGGAAGGGGACTGAAGTGGTGCTCACTGGTGGAACTCGCAACCTTTTCCAAAGAGGCCGATACAGTCTGACAGTTTGTCTTTGGTAGTGTTTCCAATTTTTCCAGCACAGTAGAGGTGTTTCATGCCGGTCTAATAGTGGTTGTAGTGCATTAGTTTTTGGGCCAGCATCACCTGGCATTAGTTTCTGGTTTCTCTGTGAACAGTGAAAGAGGGCTGCCACTGTGGCCCTCTGTGGCTGACCGTCAACTTTGATGGATGGGAAAAAAAAAGAAGTCTTTGAACTCTGTTACAGTATGCCATGCCATTACAAGGTATGTGATATTGCAGGTTTATTTCTTATAGCACACGTTTTTTGTGAATTACATTTTATGGAGACATTTTTTATTATTATTATTGTATCTGCGCCATGGTTAGTTCTGGTTCTTTGTTATTTTTCCAAGATTCAAGATGTATTGTAAATGTTTCTAATAAAACAATCTCCAGTTGAAACCAATTGTCTTTTGTTTGAAGGGGGTTCTTATGGCTAAAATTATTCTTTGATTATGATTATTTAAATTTTAATTGCAGTCATCAGAGGAATGATATCACTTTACAGCATTGCACATATCTTATTAAATTATAGTGGACAATCAGAATTATAATGTGGCCATGTCAACATTTCATGATGAGCAATCATGACTTTTCAGTTAATTGTGCCCTTCCTTCAGATTCACTAATAATCCAGCTCCATGCACCAGTTTTGTTTTAAACATCTTGAAGAGACACGAGAAGAGGCAGGCTATAACAAATGAGATTTATTTATACAGTCCAAATATACATATATTAGAATAAATGTTTTAAAAGCCCTAACCTACACCACCCAGTTTAAGACCTGTGAAGTCAACAGAAGTCAGTGTTGATGTGGGAACACATCAGCAGGATAAACACCATCTGTGTGCATAACCTTTGGATTTAATCAAGCCCCTCCTAACAGTACCATCCTATCTCCTTCTCCTCATAGATTAAAACTATTAGATACTAACAAACCCAATCCTGGCTCCTGAATACAACCCCCGCCCCCTCAACAGGAAATAAAGACAAGAGTGAGCGAGGGCAGACCTCGGGGAGATCCCAGAAGGCAAGAGTCCTGTTCCAGTTACATACAGTGTAGACAGAGACTTAAAGGAGTAGGTGAGCAGGCAGTGGAGGATTTCACTTACAGTAAAACAAGCCATCTGGGGTACATCAGAGACCACAGGAGCAGGGCAGGGCTGAGTGCCCTCACTACCTCATTGCCTGAAACATTATCCATCCAGCCTTCCCAGCTAACAGGCGGCAGCAGCAGCACAGGGTTGTCTATGCATTTAAACAAATTCCCTAGTCTCTCCAACTACACCTAAAGGTTCAGGCCAGGGCTGAAATGGTCAACAGTAGAGTCAATACTACTATCCCATCAACATGTGAGGCAGTTAACCCATCCACTAGTGATGCAGCTATTCCAGCTCATTTAGAGTAAATGCAGAACAAAGCTTGCACAAGCATGACTCATCTGCAGAAAACAAAATGTGTAGAAAGCAGGAAAACCTTCCAAGCAAAGATCAAAAACAATCAAAGAGAAATTACATGTCATTGTTAGGGAGGGATGTCACTGCTCTGAGTGGCCTGGTGAACACAACCTGACCCAACCCACTAAACTCCCGTCTGTGCATTTAGGAAAAATGACTCGTAGCCCTCCCTCTTCCATTAGAGAGGTTAGCTGCCCTTACAAGCTTCTTCACATAGATATGCGATTGTGGGCAAAAGCATCAAAAAGCAGTAAAACTCCCTTTGCTCTTAAGAATTCAGTGTGAAAATTTAAACCGACCAGTGTTAAAGCTCAAACCCTTTGGTCAAACAAGACTTTAATCTAGTGTTCAATAAATATTGTAAGGGACATTACTGTCTAAATATTGAAACTTGGAATGACAGTGGCAGCACAGGGGCTGCTGTTCAATCATTTGGATATGGAGTTGTTTTTTTTTTTGTCTACAATTTTTGTAGGGAGAAAGTATTACTGAGTTGTAAAACAGAACTTTCAAAGGGAGGAGATTTTGCAAAGACAGGAATAAGATGAGATACAAAAGGGACCTTATAATGTGTTATATTATTCATTAGACTGAATCAGTTGGGATCGTGTACTTCTTTAAAAGCTTAGTGCACTGGGTGTAGTGCATCTCACCTGTGTTCCTTCCCGTGATACTAATTCTCCCCACCCCGTCTGTTTACCTAAACCTCTTTACTATCCCTCCTTCACTGTCCCTCTCTTCAAAGTTTCTTAACCAGACAACAGACAAATCAACCCAGTACAAATGTCCATAAGTGAAATGGATATCTCTACCTGCCTCTCTATTTCATTGTCCACCTGTCTGTCTCTGTTTGTCTATTTGGCTGTTTCTCCATTTGCCTGGAGGTGAAGGAGGAGGTCAGTGCTAAGGTCTCAGTTGGACTGGCAGCAGGCCCCCTTACCGGTTGAGCTTTGGGTGGGCTCAACCGTGATGGGCACTACGTTGGAGGCTGGTGAGAAGTCTGAGTCGCTTCGCCCTGACATCTGCCTCTGTGACACGATGTGGTAGATGGCTGTGATGGAGAGAGGGGTGAAGGGGAATGAGTTATGTGTAGATGCCTATAAATCCAGCCAACAGTGGGACATATTGTGATAAGGACAAACAGCATGGCAAAACTGAGCAACAACTGTTCTATCCAGACTGCTGGCAACAGTGCAGGATTCCTTCCATCCTAAACTGGCATCGTTATATCATGTGGCTGTACCAAGTCTCATTTTAGGCATTCCCCAAAGCCACACTATGCAATATGTTCAACATAAAAATTGCAATAACTAAATAAATATACTTTATGGGTCTGTGACTTGCTTTTGTGACCCTACATGCTCAAACTGGTAAGTAGAAAATACAGTAAAGCTAAATATTTAGCAGACAGGAGCCATTCAAACACATCAAGTATAGCTTTTTAATTGCAACTTCTGTCTTCAGAATCTCCTTTTTCAATAACGGATTACATTTCTGAATGGTATTCACCTAAACTTTGGCCAGTTGATCAACTTAAGAAGAGACTGCAAAGACCTCTCTGACTTACTGTTGCAACTCCAACTTTAACCCTAAACTCTCCAGAAATAAAAACTGCCTATGAAGCAAAAAGGTTTAAAGCAAAACATGACTCCTGGCTAACAGGTGGTGAAACTATGAGTAATTACCACAGACCCTACACACCAGCTGTTGAGCCTGTATAGATGATACCACAACAGGACAACCCTTTTCTGACCTATGATCTGTCTGCAGCTGATGGCTACACATGTGATGTCCTCTCTGTAGCACTAAGTCTAAAGTTCAGTTATTACCAGGCAAGTTGGCCATGATGGTAGTGCATATGCACGCAGCAGCCTGGGGCCCTTGGCTCCAAACAAAATTTCGTTGTACGTGTCACAATGTTACAATGACAATAAAATAAAGCTTCTTCTTCTAATGCACTGCTAACTTCTTCTCTTCACCTCCCATGAAGTGGGCAAGTGAAGTAGAAGCACCACTCACTGTTGTATTAGCCCTTTAGGCCCTTTAGGGATTCCCCAGGGTGACTCAACCACAACAATTGCTTTTTTCTCAATTTTATCAAATCTCCATCATTAACTGCATTTAATAGTGTGGGTATATCCCTCCTGGGGAAGCTGTATAGACATTTACTATAGACTATGACTATGGGCAAACATATCTGTGAACCAATACCAGGCTTGCTTTATTGAATAGTGCATATGGTACAATGGGTCAAAGTAAATTAGTGACTACAAACAAACACCAGTGCTTAGTTTTCAGTGTTTTTTGTTTTTACCTTAATAAACTAAGGTGGTGTTCTTAACACAGATTGCACAAAAGTGATGGACACAGACAACTGATTACGTGGACATTGCTGCCATCTAGTGGCAGAGGATAGCTGTTGTTACATCCACCAAAATAAAAAGAGAAGTAACTCAAAGATATATACAACGTCTATACAGTAAAACACATACACTGTATATGTAAAACATTATTATTAGATGGCTTAGGAGCTGTAGACACCAGTGATGCAGGCCCAAACTCCTTTTCATTCTAGGATTTAATATAAACACAAAAAAGAACTAAATCATGAAACACACCTGTGAGAATGGTTTGGAAAGCCAGCTCCACATTAGAGGAGTCTAATGCTGATGTCTCGAGGAAAGACAAGCCATGCTTCTCTGTAAAAGATAAATGCACATAATCCCAAAATGAATAATTATAGATCTACTGTACATTTATTTTAACTTTCATAACTACACAGAGCTGAGGTGTTTTGTACTGTTGTCCTGTTCTGGCCCTGACAGTGCGCTGGTTTGGGGTTTGATTTTACTCTAGAGTACTCCCCCAAAGAAATTAAATAACTGCTTTCAACTGCTTCTCATTTGACTGCAAACTTGTGATTGTGTGACAGCTACTGGATCTGCTCTGTATTCTACATTTACAATGTGATGAAATGCAACGATGCTACTCAGAGTAAAGACTTAGTTTAGAATGTAATAGTTTCTATTCTGATAAAGAAAACTTTGCAAGCATAGAATGACCCATTTATATACACACTATACTAAATATTTGATGTCTTACTTAATAATTGATCGGCAATATTAATTAGCCCTTACTGAAGTTGTCATAAGTGACAGACTGTCTAAGATAATATTTAAGCAAAAATGCAGAACATTTGATGAGTCCAGCTTTTTCTTTACCTCAACATTATAGTAAATTGATTTTGGGGTTTGTTGTTCTTGTTTTTTCTTTTTGGTGTGAAACTGTTAGCTGGACAAAACTAAACATTTGATAACATTACCTGGAACTTTTTTTTTTTTTGATTACATGAACACTAAAACAATACATAACTCAAATAAATCAATAAGTCTATTGATTTACTGGTTAATCTACTTGTTTCAACACTAACCTCATAAGCTATATTCTCAATTTGTTCTTTCTCTGCAAACTGCACATTCCAATTCTAAATTTAAAGGAAATTATAAATACAAATAAAGTTCATTCAACATTACCCTAGGTGAGTGAATATTAGTCACACAGTCATAACTGAGGTGATGTTAGACTGGCCTATTGTTGCTGTTGTGTTGCTTCACCCATGGCATTATAATACGTTTTGCATGGGTGTGTCCATCACACAGTGTTTATGTAAATTAAGTGTCAGAATTTAGGCCAGTGTATAAGAAAGCACTGTCTGATGAAAATGTTACTGACAGAACAACAAAAGCAACTTTCTTTACTCTAATACAGATTAACAGGCCTCAAGTATTTGACTTTCTTACAGCCTATCAACAGTTTTTACCAGCCAAAGCAGGTGCAACACTGAACTGGACATAAGCCAATAAACTCAAGGTTAAGAGTAAACATGTGACCCAACCACTCTGAAATAATAAGGATGTCAAAAGGTTGACAAAGTTATACTTAAGTAAACTGGAAGGCTGCTTGTAAAAATAAACCTGCTCTAAAACAAAACTTTGTAATTCTTCAAGGTCTGAGTTATTGTAAATGAAAGTTTATTAATTTATATCAAGTTCTTTTGACCTAGTGCTGTGCTTCTTCATGCGTACTTAAACACATTCTAGTCAGAGACATATGCCATTTAGAGGACATTTAAGTAAAATCCCTTATGGTATCATAGTGCAAACATCTCACTGTCAACAACACAAATGATGTGTTATAATGTACTTAAGGACCAAATTAAAGAAGCTATGGGTCAGTTCATCTCATATGCCCATTATCACAGCTCTAACCTTGTGATAATCTAATGAGGCACAGTCCAAGAACCTCACAGGCCAAAACAGGCACACTCTGTACGACACACAAACGCACAATGCCATGACAGTGACAGTACCTGCAAAGGCCTTGGCCTCATCTGTTGGAACTGCCCTTAGGTGGCGCAGATCACTTTTGTTTCCCACTAGCATGATGACTATGTTGCTGTCTGCATGGTCCTGCAGCTCCTTCAGCCAGCGCTCAGCATTTTCATATGTCAGGTGCTTAGCAATGTCATAAACCAAGAGAGCTCCAACTGCTCCACGGTAGTACCTGGACAACATAAGAGGAGATGAAAAATTATGAACTGGGGAAGACTGCTTGCTTTTGTCACAGCCTGTTGGTTTCAGGATTCATTGTGAATGGAGTCACATGGGCTCAGCTCTGAAGCACAAGGACATCTGAATTGTAGAAAACACTAGAAATAAAACTGTGAAGCTAAAACAACTGCACATAAAGCTCACAACACAAGTAAACAGTGACTGACAATGTGCTCGCTGTGCGTTTCCTCAATGGTTGTAGAAACTTGACACAGTACAGGCCAGCCTCAGGATTGGCTGCTGGACCAAGGAAGACAGCGATGAATGTTGGGATGGGAACTTAACAGAGAGATGATTTGGAAACATTTCCTGCCCCAAGGCAAAAAGGTGCATTCTGTAGGGTTAATCACTTCCAATGATATCTTTCTCTCTGTTTTGGGAATAATAAATCTGCCAAATTGGTTGATTCTAAATTTAATTAATCACAAAGAAGATGGCCTGCTGTTTCATACTTCTATTGGCTGGAAGCGCATATCTGCTACAGCCACAAACATTGTAATAAAGCCAGGCCTTATGTGACTGTGAATGACAGTTTGGACAAACAAAAAATACACATTAAAAGCAAATACATAACGAAGTAAAAGAGCTCCTGCATTTAGTGTGACTGTAATGATAACAGATCAATGTGTGCTGGCCTTATCTGAAAGGACCTGGGTCTGTGTGAAAGCGAGTCTATGCACAACAGCATGATGCCACAAAGGCTCCAAAGCAGTATATGATGCTGGCCCCCTATTGTACTCACGCAGAAGTGATGGCTCGGTATCGCTCCTGTCCAGCTGTGTCCCAGATCTGAGCCTTGATGGTCTTGGCTTCTACCTGGATGCTACGTGTGGCAAACTCCACCCCGATGGTGCTCTTGCTCTCCAAGCTGAACTCATTTCGAGTGAATCGTGACAGCAGGTTACTCTTACCTACACCCGAATCGCCGATCAGCACAACTACAGGAAAAAACAGTGATTTGATTCAAAGAAAGAAGAACAATCATCAGAACAGTCACATTTGTGTATTGTAAACTCTATGTACAAGCAACAACAGGCAGAATTCTCATTTTCTTTTTTTGTACATAGAAAATGAAAAATACATGGAGAACAGACAATATTACAGTATAATTTGATATCTGATAGCATTGCATACTATATGGCTGCAGCTGTAAAGAGAAATTCACAGTAGCCCTTTGGTGGCATAGTTTATTAAACCATTAAAAGTGACACTGAATAAAATAGGCTGAGTTTTTAAAAAATAAATATGAATCTCATTTCTGTTAGATAGCCTGCCTCACCAGTGACGCACATGTGTGGCTCCTAGCCGAGGTACAGCAGAAACTCAGGGGACTCCCACTGAGTACACAAAATATTAAAACCACCTGCTCTTTTCAGGAAACACATGCAGACTGAACACGAGTCCAGGTGAAACCATTGACTTCTCCTGTGCTTCAGTCACAAGAGTAAGGAGGGGGGGAAATAAGATAAATACAATTCTTTTAAACCTTGGGAGAAGTAAGGCATATATTATAGCACATTAATGCACAAACCCATATGCGTTGTAAGTGGTCCTGCTCTTTAAAAAGTTGCATACAATCTAAAACTTCTCTGAAAATAAATTTTTATACATCTACAATTACTAAAACTGAGCACGTTCACTATCTCAACCAAATCCCTTGCTGAGGTTTGTGCAAAAACCAAGCTCAAAATGCAGTAGGCCCCTAAGTTATATCTCAGCCTTCCTCGCTGTTGCATTAATTAACAGGACCACCAATTAACACCTATAAAAATCTATAGGACTAACACCCCTAATGATTACACTTGGAAAAAGGCCTTTTTAGGTTTCCACTGACATAGAAGTGGGAGAAGGAATTACATCTATTGTTTTGAGAGGGCTATTCTGCTTATGCCAAAAGTGAAATCACAACAGCAAAATCAGAAATTTCAAAGCACTGTCTCGACCTCTCCTGGATATCCTCCTAAAATGCACTGAACCAGGCATTATTAGGAGGAGTGTTTGTCAGAAAACTACTTCCACATTTGTCAGGTGAACCAAGTCTGTCAAAGGGAACCTACCACAACAACTCACCACCAGCGCACCACCCTGCTATTTGGAAACAGGAACATGTTATGGAATGTTGAAATTACCTCTACAACCATCTGACCACTGTGTTTACACATGCATTTAAGCAATGCTGCTGTTTCTCTAGGGTAACCTTGAGTATTAAAATGTTAACTGTGGTGTAACACACACAGGTGGAAACATTTCCAGATTAAGGGCTATTTTATTTAGATTTTGAAATGATTAAAATAGGTGACTCCTAGAGACAGCACACATCCTAAAAGGGTGACTCTGCAACGTGCCAAAAGGTCACTGTCATTCTCCATTTAATCCAATACAAAGGATCATGGGTGGAGGACATAAATCATTATGCAACCATTTCTACGTCCATCATGGCTGCATTACACACCCATTTACTAAACTATTGTTTGGTTTGCATTCTTCAGCTATAAAGGAATGACACTTCTCCATTATATTATTCAACCCTGCAACCCGTCATGTAGCCTAGCATATGACTGCCTGAATGAAGAAATGAAGAATTAAGCTAGCTGTGAGAATGTGAGTCTCTTATGTGAGATTATCTGATATACTAATATCTCCCAAATCCCTGTAAATGGGCTAAAAGACATCACATGTTGAATTCCTTCATTTCCATTTATGTGAATAGCAATGTATAATGAAGGTCTCTACCCAGCATGAAAGCTCATACACCTCACTAAAAT